GATTGTGTTTTTGAAGCAAAGAAAATCAAATTTATAAAATTTTTTCAGTTTTATTTTTAAAATTTCTTTTTCTTTGGCTTTCCACATTTTTGTGGCCTGGAGAGAGACTTTTAAACCTCGATGCTAATTTAGCTACTGGGCCACAATCATTAAAGGATTGGATGTTTTTAAAAATAAAAGTAATTTTTTATATTGGGAGAGCGATATATTTATTATGCAAATAATTATTATTATAAAGTCCAAGTTATAGTAGGTTAAGTAAGTTAATCTAAAATTATCCCTTTTTATATGTTCTCTCTGGAATAACCGATTGCTAATAATGAGGTAAGAAGAATAACTATTTACAAGAGATGTGGTAATGGGAATTCATAATGCAGGAATATATACCCAGAAATGTAGTAATAATTCAATAATGATAATTATGAAAACTTAATCCATAAGTATTTTTAAGATTTTTGCATAATTCATCAAATATTTGCTCAAAAATTATACTATTAAAATTACCATGATAATCTACTATATCAGGACTAATACTTGCTTCTTATACAGCTTCTGGAATTGTTTGTCATAATTCTTCATTTGTTCTTTCTCTTTCTTTTCCATGATGGTGCAAAATTTGGCGGTCCCGTGATTTTTATTCAATATAAGATCAGTGTATAACATACAAATGCGAAGTAAGAAATAAAGGTGAAAAAAAAACCAGAAAATCATAAATCTGCAAGAGAAATTGGTCTTGTTATTATGTAAAAGTTTTCAGTACAAAAATTTATATATACTCTTTCTATATACTTTGTATTAATGCAAACACTAACTTTTAAACAAAAACTAGGATATCATTGTTATTGAATCCGCCAAATTTTTGTGCTATCACTATTTCACTCTTTCATACAACAACGCTGAAAGTCCTTATTTTATTAGAATTGCAGCAGGGCATTATGAAGTAATTCAATTAACTGCCATGCACCTGCCCAATATCTTCGTACTTTGGTACTTATGAGGCTACGTAGAGTTTTATAGGTAGGAAATTCATTATTTTTTTCATTGGGTTATGTGAAGTAATTCAATTAACTGCCATGTTCCTACCCAATATCGTCTTTCCTGGCGGGGTGGATATATTTTCCGCAGATAGGACAGGGGCAGTGTTTATCATACCCCGTATTTTTTTTTCTGTATAATATTTTTAAATATTAGATTTTTAATTTCCTCTTCCTTTTCTAAATATTAAGTATACCATTAAATAATAAGACTGTGTACATACATACGTCCAGACTCTCGTATTTTTGGTCAATATTTGCGATGGTCATTTTCTTAATGCTTCCTTTTAAATCAGAGTTAAGAAATCAGCGTCTTGTCGGGGATTTTCATCTGGACCTCCATCTACAAAAAGAACCCGGACGAACATCAAAGCTATCAAATTTTCTTAGCCGATGTCAGTAAATTAACAAACGGAAGGATCTATCTAGCAAAGCAAAAGAGCCTCTTTTTCTAAATATTAAATATACCATTAAATAATAAGACTATGTCAACTTCAGGTACATATGTACGTATGACAATTATACCTAAGAATAAAAATATATACCTTCTAAAATTTTCTTATATTCATCATCATATGAGGTGTCGTGGATTTTCATCTGGACCTCCATCTACAAAGAGAACGAACATCGAAGCTATCAAATTTCCTTAGCTGATGTCAGTAAATTAATAAACGGAAGGATATTTTTAATCTAGTAAAACGAAAGAGAATAATTTTGAAGAGCTGGAGTGTTCTTTAATACCTCAAAAAAAATGGCAGCTGCTATCCACGTAATCATATCTGCAAATCTGCAAAATATACCACCTGATACTTTATTGCCAAATGCTAGTGCTTTGTCAAAGTATATTTTGTTGTTGTATTGCAACCCCTGAAGCACTTGGTCAATTGGGAGAACTGGTAAAATTTGATATCGATATGCAGTGAGATAATATCATCCTCCTTTTCGGGTGATAATGTGTATTGTTATATCATTTTTGCTGCATGGACTTTTAGCTAGCGTTTTAAGCCACATGGTTGTAAGCGGCTGCTAAGCCAATCGCTAAGCCGATTTACTTTAAGAAATCTTTCACGTTCTAAATCTTGAACCCTTTGCATAAGAATTTTAATCAGAATCTTCTTTCTTTGTCGACCCAAAAAATTAAAATAAATATAAAAGAAATGTATATAAAAGGGAGGATATGAAAGGTAAAATATTAACTGAGGCCCCCTGACTAGTGATCCAAATCGTGACTAATCGATCGGAAATTTTTTAATCCTACATAATAAATTTAAGATGTAGAATTTTTTAGCCAATCAGAATGGTTTAAAATGATACATAAACACGTGATTATTTATTATTCCAATCAAATTTATTGAAAACATGTGACTATTAGTTGACAAAATTTTAATCAACTCGAAACACTGCCCTAACATGAATAGCAGGCATTGCTTCTAAAAAATGTTTTTTTATATATATTTATTTTTTATAGGAGGAGCTAGGCTCGTGACCAGAAAAAGCTAATAGAGAAGAATGTTCAACCACGAAAACTTGGTCGGCCACGACATGTTTTTGATTATCGTTACACTATAGGCTCACAGCCTGAAAAGTATACACATCTTTACTATACAAACTTTACGGAACAATGAGAGTGAATAGAATTTTAATTGAAAAGAACTTTGGCGAATTTTAAGAGAATGAATATTACAAAAACGAGCTTATTTTTTGATTTGAAGGTGATAACCACGTTGAGAAAGTTTGATTAAACAAGTATCATGGAAAACGATTTACAGGTTATTAGGGGTCTGCAACCTGGGCTCATGCCTCCATCTAATTAAGGGAAAACCTGGAATTATGAGTTTCCGAACTCCGGTTTAAAGAACAAAGCTTACGTATCAGACACATGATTCATTAAATATAATTTATTTATTTATTATAATTTTAATCAGACCGTCCCTTAAAGTGAAATTTCAGAAAATCAAGAATTTTAGGTTTTCCCTTAGCAGCACTCATTTTGAATATTTGGATGTGATTGTTTTCAATAAATTGATTTATTAATAAAGATGTCCAAACCAGGTTTCAATTAAGATACTGAGTCCCAATTAGGGAATGAGCATTCATCCACACAATCAGCACCAAAATGTTGTAACCATGGAATAGACTTATATCAAATTATCTCAGGGTTGCAGCATAAATGTTCATTAAGAATTCTGATTTATAATAGTGGTTGTTAAGGAATATATTTTAATTGGTAGGTTAAGTTATTACTTCATTTATTATGCAACACACAGAATTCTCTCTATTAGTTTGAGCGTTATATTTATACATTTCAAATTGCCGTGGTCTGAAACCAAAATCTTGGATCTGTGGTCCCAAACCAGGATCTGTAGTTTTAAATTCATATACAACCATTTCATAACAATAGCGCTAACAAATATACAACAGGGCTGAAACGACATATAGTAAATTCGGGCCATCCAAAGCGTCGTTTTGATTCATAATTATTGCGATCAAAGAGTCGGCCAGGGCGGCCCTCCAAAGTGCATTTACATGAACCCATTATAATCGACAAAGTTATCTATCTTGTCGATTATAATTCTACATTACGTAGGCTCATGTAACAACACTTTGAAGGGCCGCCCTGGCCGACTCTTTTGACGCAATAATTATGCATCAAGAACGACACTTCGGATGGCTGGCATTTACCATATTTCGTTTCAGCCCTGATATACAGTAGTAAGAAATAATAATAATACAATATAATATAACAAAGTGAAAGACATAACAGCTGGTCAGCCAGCCAATGGCCAAGCTTCGGCCAAAAATTTCTAATTTTGTAATATTAGTCAATCATATTACTAGTTTTTATTATATAAACTTTTGGCCATTTCGGCCAAATTAATTTTTTCAAAAATTTGGCTGTTGGCTGGCCAAATATCTATGTGACAACACTGCTTTAAATCATTCAAAAATGTGAAAAAAAATGGGTAAAGAAAAAGTGATTCTTAATTCTTCCACCATTGTTGTGGAAACACGGTACTAAATTAGGAAAAGCCAAAAATGGTCGATAATTTACTACCGTATATGTACGTAAGTACGTACGTGGAGAACACATTAACGTTAGTATTCGCGCGTCGCTTCTTTAAATTTAACCAACCAAAAATGATTCTTATTGATGTCCTTTAGGGATGACAATATCTATATCAATTAGAATTGTGAGAAATATGATTTATTATCATCCGTGAGACAAATAGAATGGTACCAAAATCCGTGGCTGGAGGGTTAATCAGCATTATTATACCAATTATACCAGTCATATCGTATAATTCCCAACTCCTACAAGCAACGATTCTTACTCTTTTCATCAGTAAATAAAGTTCAAAAAACCTAATTTTATGTGTAAAGTCATGGGATGTTAACTAGTATATTTACAACCTTTTTTTTTTTTTTTACAAATAGGTGTAAGCCCGTTACAGAGCATTTATTGATAAGTTTATGTCTAATTAATCGCATTATTTGTACTATATAGTTCATATGCAAAAGCACGTAACAAAAGTTCGAGCAAAAACAATTAGAATTTACATGCAGCTTTTTTTCTAATTACCATAAAAAAAAACGTTGTTTGACAAAGTTGACTAGGAATGTCTCAGATATTTTTTATTATAAAAATAAGAAATCAAGTAAATAAAAACATATTTTTATCACTCGTAATCATCCGATTCACTCTCTCACTTCCCACAATCCTTTCCACCCGATACTGATCGAATTTTGAAAATAAAACATTACACGATAATTCGGACTCTGAATCTATTTCATTTTTCGTAGATATTAAAAAGTTCACAATTTCGGGATAAAATTGTGGGTAATCAGGTAATGCATAAAATATTATATGGCGTATACCTCGAATGTGGTATCTATTATTGTAATGAAATATTAGAAATGTCAATTGCAAATTAAATTATTAGACTATTGTATATTTAAAATTCGCTGTCACCTTCTAAAGAAATAGAATCGTTCTGTGTACAACATAATATTTCGTTTTCCATTAAGAAAATTTGATCGGGCTCTAGTCACATCCGGTGCTGAAGTATATCTAATATAAGAAATTAATCATTAGTATCGTTGATGCTCACTTGACCAAACAGAAAACGTTTAAACTTACTCGCATATACTGGTAAAATTATAATCATAATCTTCAAAATAATTTCTTATTCGTATAAAATCAAAATATGATGGAATAAATATTAATGTATGTGGTAGTTTTGGATTTAATTTTTGAAGGGCGGGCAATGACTACATAGTGATAAATAATTAGCTATCAATTTAGAATATAAACAAGAATGACTAGAGATGTTAATTGGTTCATTTTAGTTCATTCAAAAAAGAACTGAACTAGAAAAGTTCAGTCCTTTGTTCAACTTAGGATTAACTAAACTATTTAAAGTTCATATCTAAACTTGGCATGAACTGAACTATTTAATATCTCTAATGACGGCAATGTAAATACCTTTTCGATAAAATGCTTGAATCGAGCATCATCTGCTTCAATTAGTGATTGACATTCAACTCGAGTAAAAATCTAGTGATAAAATGAATTATATTTTAATAGTAATGAATAGTAAATCTAATAATGTAATGCATACTAAGAGAAATTTACCTGCTTAATTTGAGGAATCACGTCTACGATGGTACCTTCATACTGATCTTTGATTTTTAATTTTCCAGCGATATTAAGCATTTGCTTATTGAATAATGAATTAATTTCAGGTGTCAAATATGAGGAAATCATAATAGTCTGACGAAAATATTTGGCTCTACATGAATTTATAGGATCATAAAGTTATTATAATCAAAAGGATAAATGTAAGACATCTACGCGTACTAACTTGCCGTCAAGATACCAATTCTTTACACGCGAAAAGTCACAGTTATGCGATTTTTTGGGTATTAAATTCAGATGATTGAATATATACTAAATAAAAAGAAATGATAAATTAAGTAACGCTCGTATAATCAATATTTATATTTATACTAAGTTTTACCCCAATATGATCCCAATTTTGCATGAGAAATATTTCACATTGATCAATTATTAATATTTCAATGGAAGAAAGGAAGTCGAAGTCATGTTTCCTGTCTCTAGAATTAATTAGATGATTTTGAATATGCAGGAAAGGTATAGATATTGAACTTTGCATAATAAAATTTATAAAAGAATTTACCCTTCATTTCCAATAATCATTCGTAATCCCAACGGCGAGGCAAGAATAATGTCTGCGTTGTAAAATTCAGCATAAAATTTTATTGATTTTCGTGTGAGCTTAATGCCAATTCGAAACATATCATCAATATTGCCCTTGAAAGTTTCTAAAAAATCCGCTATAATATATGGATTTAAATTTTAGTTTAGGTTATATCACCACAACATATTTAATATTAGATATATAGTATATCCAACCTGGCTTGTTTATGTCAATCTTTTCTTCATCAGGAGAAATACCGTAAGAATCGAAAAATCGCTTGCGATTCTCCTTTGTTAAAGTACAACAAATAGTATACATATTAATTTTTTGATGTATATTTAATCCAATTTCGTTTCAGAATAGTTACCTGTTGCTCAGTTCCAGACAATTTTATGATTATTTCTGCTAAATTAAGAGCAGAATTACGGAATGGTAGTAGAATCAAAACTTTAGGTCGCGTGAAACCTTGATCACGAAATTCTCTAAACAATGCCATATCTATAATAATTATAATCATGAAAAATGAAAATTCTTTGAAAGTAAAACATGAATAAAACTACTTGCTCAATATCTTTGCCAACGGAATGCGCGCGAGTAATTTTTGCATTATTCTTTAATATACGATTCCTAGTCCTTAAAACATGATTAAATTATACACAATCATTACTATATAATATTTAAATAAAGTTTTCTAATAATGCCCTGTTCTTACTTAAAAACATGATTTAAAGCATGTAAGGCATAGATTTGTCGTATTTCCTTTGAATTTTCCACGGATCGATTGGTGAATAAAACGTCGCGATATTTATTAATATGATGAAAGAGACCGGTTTGCAATTCCGTGAAAACTGAATCGTTACTTTCTTGAATGTATAAAAGTATTACTACTATTGTCTTATAAATTATACACTAAATTAATAAAAAATTTACCATTCAACTTTTTCCAAGAACAAAGCAATTTCTCCTTGATCTTATGAAATAAGAGACACCTATTAGATAATTACTTTAAAAAAAAACGGACGTTAAACTAGTATATTTATTACCTTTAGAGAACTCAAATTTAGCTCCGAATTGCCAACATTTTCTTTCACTTCTGAAATTTGTTCTGTTGAATATTCTGATACCGATTTCAATATTGGATCTTTGTAGTTGGAAATATTCCATTGTTTATTATTTATTTTCCCTATCTTAGAGCTTATATCATTCGAAAATAGATTATCGCCAAAATGGCGATCAAATTCGTCATCTTTTAAAGATACATTTACTAGTTAGTTGCGAATATCATAACTTATAAGCAAACAATTATATAAATATGTAAACCTTCTTCATCGTCAATATCAGGATTACTTAAAACTTCATTAGAATCATTCGCATATATGATGTCTTGCATTTGATCATTATTATTCTCTAATTCTTTTACTTTATTTTCATCATTTAACTTATTCTTTACATGATTTTTGGTACGTTTACTCATATCGACATCTATACTTCACTGAAAGATTTATATTAAAGTTAGTGATACGATGATTTCAAAATCACTAAAAATATCTTGATAAATATATTATAAAAAAAAATGCGGGCAGATCCTTGATTTATGATTGGCTATTGATTGTGACAAAACTTAACGACTTATCATGGTACAGTTAGCATCAAATTTACATATATTTTTTATGAATAATATACATCAGGGAATTTTTAAATAGGGTGGATATCGATTACCAGCTGCGGGGCGATTGCCATCGATTATAAAAATCGATAATAATCGATATTTGATATCAATCGATTTCAATCAAAGCGATTCTAATCAATTTTAATTAGCAGCTTTGTTGTCAATCGATTCTAATCAGTATCGCTGGTAATCGGCAGGGGTGCTACTTACCGATTGACATTTCTTTCTGTCAATCGATTGCCAACCAATTTAATTTTCCTGATGTAATTATATTATACGTAGAATTAAAATAAAAAATTTTAGTTATATATTAAAAAAAAAAAAAAAATTCTTATTAAAATTCAAAATAATATTAATAATATTATTATTATAATTGCAATTATCTTATTCTTGGCCGACTATTCTGAGCTGATAGTCTGCAATATATAATTTTTTTTTTTGAACTTTATATTCTCGAAAATTAAACCTGAGTATATCGGTATATTCAAAGAATGCATATGTTGTTGTTGGTTAAGCTCACATTCAATAGTGAAAATTTCTAATTATATCCTTAATCTTGACATACACAATATACCGATACGGTTTTCCAAAAATAAGCATTTCCATTTTACGACAGTGCTCACTTTCGGAACCTCCCGGTATTTTAAATAGAATTCAAGTGCTTTTAAATTCATTTTTATTTGAATAATGTAATTAAATTTTTCAATGGATTCTAAGTGTAATATTAAAGATACAAATATATATTAAATAAGGATTGACAATATTCTTATAACTCATAAGCCAAAAAAGTCCAATAATTAAAGATGTTATGTAAATATTATTATGCTGAAGGATATACACTGCTAGCATTACGACTGTGTGAATAAATTACATCTAATTGTAATTCAGAAAAAACTTTTGAAATAGGTCTGTCTCGATTTTTTCTTAATCCAGATCTTAATTCTCGAATTGTATTATCAAAATCTTGCCCTGCTAATAATGAAGCTATACTTGAAGTATCTGATGGTCGTCTTATCGCCTATTATACAATTGTATAGATTAGGAGTGAACAAAAGAAATTTTTCAAATTGCAATGTAAATAATTTGACGTTACCAAGCGTGATTGAGCATTCATTTCTTTTAAATGCTCTTTTTCTATTCTCTTCCTTTCTTCTTCATTTTCCCGTCTTACTCTCTAAATATAAGAAATTGATTATTATTTTGACGTCTCCAGCATTTACATTTTAAGGTAATGTCTTAAATACTTACCTCCAAAGATTTTCCGAATTCAACAATCATGCCAAAAAATTCTTCAGGTTTAGTAGCGGTAGGATCCTCTCCATAGTATTTTAGTAATTGGTTTAGTCTTTCTTCTAATTCTTGCGTAAATTCTTTTATGCTCTCGATGGTTGGTTCAATTTGTTTAATGAATTCCTACAACAGATACAACAAAAAACGACCCCAGGTTAAATCTCTATACTTATAAAAATGTATAAATAATTATAAAAACAAACCTCCATAACTTCACAAAAACGATCACTACTCGGTGTCAATCTTATCTTCTTCAAAACCCTAATTTCTTCTTTGATTAGGTCAGCTCCACTACCCAAAGATGCAACGGTCCCTATAACTGCAACATATGAAACCTTTGATGCCCCTTCCAAATGTTTTAACTCATCCATAAATGTTATCAAATCATTCTGTTTTTCTTCAAGTATCGCAGCTAAATAGTGAAGTAATGTTGAAAGCCCTTTAGGATTATTTTCTAAAGCTTTTGTTTCGCTTATCTATTAGGTGTTAAAATTTGAAATATTAATTATAAAATCATAAATACAGTCACACACGAATAAAATATTCACCTTTAAAAGGCAATCCAACCGAAACCCGATCGCATTTCCTCGGAATGTGGAACCATTAAGATAATTTCCAATTGCCAATATGGTCTATCCGATTGAATCAGTGCAAATGAATATATATTAATAAAAACAACAATATGATATAAGCAAAGCAACCATTACATACTTTCAGCAAATATTTAAATTTCATTGATGATTTTAATTCCACATAAGCTTGATGTAAGTCTTCAACTTGCTGTAAAATAAAATATTTCGTTAAATATATTATCATTTAAAATAATTTATATTTGCTTCTCATATACAAATATTTTATCTCAAATATTATAAAATACTCACTGATTTCAATTCAAAAACTTCCATTTCAAATTTTCGCCTATATATCATACATCCTAACCTTTCTGATAGCCTCGGTATTTCCATAACCTCTCTAAAATATTTCTCAGCATTACCTAACATTCCAACATCCCCCGTATACTCTTTCACTAATTCTATTTCATCCGTTGTTGGCGCATAACTTTTTAAATTTTTTAAATTATCAACTGTCAATGTTTCATCATTTAATTCTAATATTGAATTTTTAATTTCAGAGTATGAAAACTTAATACGTGCCAACATTATTGCTATATTATTTGCACGATTAATATCAAGCAATGTTGTAAATACAGACTTTCTTGGTGGTGGAGACACTGGGGATTTTATATTACTTGTTGAGTTTTTAGAAAATAAAAATACAAGTTCTTTAGTATTCAATGGAACTTCCCCCTCCGGAATTTCTTCCCAGACAGTTTGGGACTTTTTATTTGGAGGGATCTTATCCCAAAATAGAGGTTTTAATGGAATAGTAGTAGATAAATTAACTGATACAGGTGGTGGGCGTATAGGAGTTGGCTTATAAATTACAGGTGATGAATCTGGAGATGGAATATTTCCAGAAGGAGGAGGTGGTGGTAATGGGATTTTTCCGTTCGAGTTTGGTGGTGGAGGCGGTGGTAATGGGATTTTACCATTTGCACTTGAGGGCAACGGTGGTGGTATTTTACCACCTACGCTTGGAGGAGGAGGAGGAGGAGGTATTTTACCACCTACGCTTGGAGGAGGTGGTGGTGGTGGCGGTGGTATTTTACCACCTACGCTTGGAGGTGGAGGTGGCGGTGGTATTTTGCCACCTACGCTTGGAAGTGGAGGTGGAGGTGGAGGTGGAGGTGGCGGTGGTATTTTGCCACCTACGCTTGGAGGAGGTGGTGGAGGTGGCGGTGGTATTTTGCCACCTACGCTTGGAGGTGGTGGTGGAGGTGGCGGTGGTATTTTGCCATTTACGCTTGAAGGTGGAGGTGGTGGCGGTGGTGGTATTTTACCACTTGCATTTGGAGGAAGTGGCGGTATTTTATCTCCCGAACTTAAGGGTGGCGGTGGTGATAGTGGCGGTAATGGGATATTACCGCTTGCATTTGAAGGTGGGGAAGAAGGCGGTGATTGTGGTAGAGTACTGTCCGGTAGAGACACTGACGAAAAATCCTCAACTTTGCTAACTTCTTTCGAAAAAGCGGATAGTGATGTCAAAATATTTTCTTTACTTGGCGAATTTTGTAGCAGTGAAATGCTTTCAACATTATCGCCTGTAGGTAGTGGTGACGACGTATTACTCCTAAAAACAGGTGGGGGAGGGGGCGGCTGCCGAACATTTTCCGTTTTATTTGGAGGTGGAGGTGGAGGTGGCGGTGGTCTCCGCGCCTTATCTCCCTTGCTTGATGTAGGTGATTTTATAGATGGCGATACAGGACGTGGTTTGTCTTTTAGATATTAGAGCATGTCACGATTAGAACGGTAAAATATAATCAGGTTTTGAAATTTATAATTTAAATAATCTTATCGTGCAAACATGACAACGATTTCTATTTTCCGGTGTCATTTTAAACTGAGCTTATTATGCTTAAGCTGGGAATCGTGATTATGTCATAACACACAACCAGCGAAGTAGTTGCACGATAACATTGTTATTGAATCATACAACGCTTAATACCGCAAATTTCGAATAACCACCCTAGCATTACCACTCTAAAAATTTCGCTGGCCAATCAGATTTCAAGATCAGATGTACGCGCGCGCTAACAAAGTTTTCATTGCGAAATTTTGGTATTAATAAACCTCTTTCTAACTTAATAGTAAATACTATTCTTGATTTAACAGCGAAATTTTTTCAGTGAAGTTTTTTAAATTAGTAACGCTAGGGCCTTACCCTTTTTTTTTTTTTTTGCGCGTCCCGAAATAACGCACACACCTTATATATTAATTCATATTTCGTGTATAATTTAATTTATTTAAGCCAATTGACCTTATAATATGCAGTTCAAAAAATTAACCTATATTCAAATAGAACGCAGACGCCCACTACTTCGAGATTTACGGTATTATAAAATTTGTTCTACCAAGGTAAATGATCAGTATGCTCTGCATAGCGGCCCATTACAGCCATTTACCCCTGCAGAGCAAATTTCATAATCGTTGTATGACCAATATCTTGCAAACATTGCTAAAAATAATGAGACTGTTACCAGAAGATTTTGTTGCTAATTTCTTGGCCAGTGCGTCTTTTTCAAGAGTTAAATTTTTAACCTAAAAAAAAAAAAATTTATGTTAAAAGGCAAGTGTTTAGATTTCCACCATACGTATATTTCAAATACTTACTTTGGCTTCTAATTCATCTACTTTTGCCTTTAAAGAATCAACCTTATCATCATCCATATTACCACTAACAACAGAGTATTTTCCAACAATATATTGAACAGAAGATAGAAATTCATTCATAGATAATTGCCATTCTATAAAAACAATTATATTAAATAAATTAAGAAAAGTGTGTTAATGCTTTGGCAGAAGTACTGAAACGTACCCTTTTTAATATCAGTTAAATATCTAATTCGTTCAATAAATAGTTCAATTAATGTCCAAAGTTCACTTTGGGAATTCCTACAAATTTAAGATTAATAAATTTTATAAAATTATTCAAATGGATATAGAACGACGCGTATTATTTAAATTATACAAACTATACGGACTTTCCCAGATCTTTACAAACAATTCTTAAAAGATTCTTTAGAGTATCTACCACACGAGGGTATAATTCAACATTGAATTCAACTTGTCGTACAAGTCCAACAAGTATAGAAAACGGATTACTTAATAAACAGTGATTAATTTTAGCATACCCACAAATGATAATAAAAATTTAAAACCCGAAAGCTTAAATGTAAACATACTCTGCATCTTTCACAAAATCATGCACCCTTTGATATAAGTCTTCTCTGTCATCATGACTTTCTTCTTCATATACATTAATTTGCGTTAATAACGTATCTGGGGGATCCGAATTTCTAATAATCTAGTTTAAAGCACAGTTGGATCAAATCTTAATCATGTGAATGTTTAAAATATACATCGATTATAATAAAGTGTATAACTCGTCTAACTCGCTCTACTTAGTCATTGCGAGAAAAATGTCGAGATCACGTCATATTTAATATATCTATTTTCTTATTAATTCAGATAGGCTAAATTTTAATATATCAAATATATCAAATGATCTCAACATTTTTCTGCCATTACTAACCTAGAACGACTTTGAAGAGCTGTATATTTTTTCATTTCATCAGTTCCGATAAACTCACCGACAATTGTAGTTCAATTTACAGACAAGGTTATTTTACAGACGATTAATTTTCATTTAATAGATATTTCACAGACAAAGTAATTCCAATCAATGTCGTTAGGATTTGATTTAATATTAAAGTTAATGCAATTTATAAAAAAAAAAAAAAACTTGTCGGCGAAATATATTTTCTACAAAATGAACTTGTCTGTGAATTAATCGACCGTAAAATAAAATTAATTGCCTATGTCTACGAAGTGATTGTCGGTAAAATAATACGGACCCAATTTTCATAGTCTAGTGTAAAACATACCGCAAAGAGTTCTTTTAATCCCCTTCTTTGAAATTCTTCGCGAAGCAACATTCTTTCCTCAAGTTCATCAGGTGAATTCACAATGGCATTAACCAAGCTTAAACATGCAGTTTTATACTCTAATGAAGCACTATCTTCTTCTATCTCATTACTAGTTAAAGTTTCAATTAAATATTGAAACCTAAATTTTTCTTCGTGAATATAACGAAAGTCAGAAAACGCATCTAAAACTAATTTATGACCTTCAAGAGAAAGAACACATAATGCCGCCAAAACATCAGCTACTTGTGTGCGAAGTTTGTTATTTGAAGTATGCAGACAGAAAACTATTCCATTTATGAGTGAAGGATATTTGAGAACTTGGGCAAACCCCGCCTATTATTATTATTATTATTTTAATAGAATCAATTTAGTAATATATCAATTAAGTTATATATGATTTAAACGAATAAATAAGATGGCACCCACTCCAGTATTCAACAGGACTCTTAAACAACGGATACATTCCAATTGTATTCGGTCGTCATGATCAGAGCTTTTAATAATACTGAAAAAAAACTAAAACCCTTAGTAATATGATTGGAAGGTATTCGCTCTACTTAAGTTTATAAATTTTATACTAGTGATTAAACTCATGATTTTATTTTAACTCAGATGCTAGTAGTGCCGCCTAGGGAAAATCTTTCAATTATATTTTGTCAAAATATAATTTAAAGTCCGATGATAGATTTCCTCTAAGCGGTACTCAGGTATTTTAAGTAGGGCGAATATTTGGTTTCCTATAGGAAGTGTATATAATAACAAACCTTTTCTTAATTCCAAGAGTATACTTTTCAAGAACATATTCCAGTGCTTCTAATCCTTTGACGTTAATAAAATCTTTTATCCAAGAAAGCTTTGCGGTAGACAAGGTTACACGTAAAGATTGTAATGTTTCAGCCAAAAATTTTGCAACAACGTTCCTTTTGGCATATAAAAGATTATTTAAACTTTGAATTTAATTGTATAATAACGAAAAAAAAAAAAATGCCTGTGATTAAATACCGTTGAAATAATTTTTCTATATAAAAATCCGGTGTATCTGGTGATTTTGTAGAAGAAGCAGAAGAACCAAATATCCATGAAGTAAAAAATCTTCCAGCGTTAGAAGAAGGTGAAACTGGGCGTTCCTCAGGTACCGATACATTATTGACGTTTCCTGTGGGTGATTGTTCTGACGAATTTTCAATTTCAGTCTCACCGTCGTTAATTACGGATGGTTTAGAGTCCCCAGAAGAATCCATTCAGAAACGATGATTTGAGCAAATTTGTCTAATATAAATCAGATCAAAATTCTATTAATATCAATCATTTAATCAGTAGATAAATTGAGAGTAGCGATGGGACTTTTTATGTTTTAATTTTTAGGTTAAAAATTAAAATTAATACAGTAATAGTTTTTAATGATTTAATAACTAAAAATCTATAAAACATATAGAAAGTATCGATAGAATGATATAGTCGGCGATTATTCATGAAATGTGCAGATTAAGTACAAATTTATGCGTTTGTGTTGATAAATAATGTTTTTTTTTATGTATTCAAGCATTTTTAATTTCTCAATACATTTGAACGATTAAAAATTAATTTCCTCAATATATTGAATTATTAAAAACTATTAACATACATTTATATATAAAGTCATTGCATGTTTTATGATTAATCGTTGACTATATCATCTGTCGACACCTTCTATATTTTTAATTATTAAGTCGTTAAAAAATTATTAATATAATGATTCAATTTTTTTTTTTTAATTTTAATCATTAAAATATTCGAAATATTAATTTAAAAGTCTCATCACTAATTGAGAGAGAAACCTGTTATTTTAACAGGTAAGCAAAAACGGTACTTTGTACAGAATTTAATGTCTGCCCTCAAAATAAAAATATCACTCACGCGAGCATACTTTGGAACAAAACCTGTCTGAAATAGAAAGTATAAAAGTAGTATAGCTCGCAAAGTATTCAGGAATTCAATATAAAAGAGTGCGAATTAAAACGAATCATAGTTAACGCTAAACTGCTCCTTGTTAATAATATTTATAGTTTTTTATGGCACGTGATTATAAGTTGTCCGAAGATCATAAGTTACATAAATTAGAAGCCCTAACTTTAAATATATATATTAAATTCAAATCCGTCTAATTTGTTGTCATTGGCTGTTTATAGAGAAAAAAAAAGGCAGTCTCGTGATTAATTAATAAATTATAATACAGTATTATCGTTATATATTTTTGCATCTTATCCGGCAAACTCCTATGATCATTGCGCAGCAATGCCTTTTTGGTGGTTATGACGCAATGTTAAATACTCGAGTTTTGCACAAACATCATTAATACAATTAACTAGAGATTGCAAATTATTTAAAGAATTGGTTTTTTATAATTAAGAGTTTATTTAAAGTCTGACGAACGTATTTGCTCCGGAATAATCGTTCTATAAATTATATATATATATTTTTTATGATATTATATCGTCAAAAAAATACTCTCATTTTCCGATTTCGTTTCAAACCAAATTCTGAGTCACTCTTATAATAGTTGAAATATTTTTAAAAAAAGGTATTAAAAAGTAATAAATTACAAATTACATTAGTGGTGTTCAACATCATTATTGCTAAATTTTAAAAATTAAATAAATAGGAGTACTGTAAGTATTCTAAGTAAAAATATTCAAACCTTTATACATAATAAAATTTAACCCTTTAAATCAAATTTAAATTATTTTATTATAAATTATAAAATTTTAGAGTTTTTTTGTAATATTTTTTTATAATTAGCTTAGAGTTTAGAGTTAGAGTTATTGATAAAAGAGTATAAGCCACTACAATTATTAATAAAATGTGAGAATTGCTATTTGTATCCCCAAATTTGTTATTCATACCACTCATACAAATTAAAGTTTTTTTTTTTGAACTTTGAGCGAAGATATCTTGCCAACCACCAAGTTAAATTTGATAAACTTTTTTTATTTGAATTCTATGCCTTTGTAGAATTCAAATAAAAAAAGGCATTAAATTTTGCCCGGTGGTTGCTGAGATATCTTTCGCTCAAAGTCTTAAAAAACTCAAAATATCTATCAAAACTCAATTTTTTTTATTCTTTGAGCGAAGATAACTTGACGCTCACCAAGCCAAATTCGATAAACCTTTTCTTATTTGAATTCTACAAACCTGTAGAGTTCAAATGAAAAAATGTTTATTGAATTTTGCTTGGTGATTGTCAAGATATCTTCGTTCGAATTTTTAAAAAACTCAACATCTATAAATAAAAGCTGTGCCAAATTTTTTTTATACTTTAAGCGAAGATATCTCAGTAATCATCATGTCAAACTTGATGAGCTTTTTTCATTTGAATTCTACGAAATTGTAGGATTCAAATAAAAAAAAGTTCATCGAATTTGGCCCAGTGGTTGTTAAGATACTTTGGAAAATTTTTGGCACAGCTTCTATTTTTATAGGCATTGAGTTTTTTAAAAATTTGAACAAAGATATCTTGACAATTACCAAGCCAAATTCAATAAACTTTTTTTTATTTGAATTTAACAGATTCGTAGAATTCAGATAAAAAAAAGTTCATCGAATTTGGCTTGGTGAGCATCGAGGTATCTTCGCTCAAAGGATAAAAAAAATTTAGATAGATATTTTGGTTTTTTAAGACTTTGAGCTAGGCAAAATTTAATAATCTTTTTTTTTGAATTCTATGAATGCGTAGAATTCAAATAAAAAAAGTTTATCAAATTTAACTTGGTGGCTGTCGAGATATATTCGCTCAAAATTCAAAAAAACAAAACTTTAATTTATTTTTGTATTTATTATATATTTTTATAAATTTTATATAGTTTATATATATAACTTTTAGTATAATTTTTTATATTAAAGTTAGTATTTAGATTAAAATTAGAATTTGAAAAAAGCTTTTAACAATACAAACTATTTTTATTTAAATTAATTAATTAGCTACAGTATTTTTAAAACACTAAAAAATGCATTTAGTAAAAGTAAATTAATAAAATTTGTTACTTTTAATAATTTATTAATTAATTGGTTTAAAATAAAAGTCTTATAAAGCTAAAAAAAAAATTTAATTTAAAAGGTTTAAAAATAATATTTTTTGTTTAAACTGCCCACCAATTATGTTAATTTAAATTATTTTTTTCAACAATTATTTTTAAAATTAACTTTATTTATTAAAATCTAATTAAATTGTATCTATTTTTTAAAATATTTTAATCATATTACTAAATATTTTAATTATATTACTAAATATTTATTATTTTTAAATATATATACTGTATATATTTGTCTAATACATATAGGGGGTGCCAGTAGAAACCAAGCAAATTGTTTCTAAGTAAATTTTTTTAAAACTTTGAAATAAAATATCTCAACAACTAATAAACCAAACTTAATAAAAATTTTTTTATTTTAATTATATAACTACATAGAATTAAACTAAAAAAAAATTTATTAAGTTTGGTTTAATAGTTGTTGAGATATTTTATTTCAAAGTTTTAAAAAAATTTACTTAGAAACAACTTGCTTGGTTTCTACTGGCACCCCCCCATATTTAGATTTATGTCTCTTATCTTAAAAATAAAAAAAAAATATAAAAATTCATCAGATTATAAGAACTTTCTAAATATATATGAAAATTTTAAATTTTTTTTCTAGAGTTAGGATTGATATTTAAAGAGTACATGTAGATTTTAGCAGGGCATATATTTTTAAATCGATCCCCAAATTTCAGTATTAGCCGCAACATTGATTAGCTTAGTAAAGTTTGGTTTATATACTATATGGCTACTGTATACAGTAGTGATGGGACCTCCTGAATTATTAATAATTTAAAAATGATTATTAATTGATTGATCGAATTATTAACTAACAATGACTTAATATTATATGACGCAGCTAATTAGTACAGGATGTATAAAAAACGAAAAGGTTGCGTCAATATTTTCTTAAAAATTGCTGAGATGAAACTTTTATTAAGTTGTAGTTTATTTAATTAATCATATCGATATTATTAGCGATGATCGAAGTTATTAACTATTAATAATATTAATAATATCAATAACGCATTATTAATTTTTTCATTAAAAACTCCGAGGTCCCATCACTAGCTATACAGTAATTATTTTTTTAAAAAAAGTAATAGTATTTGATAACTTTTTGTATTAACTATCTTACAAATAAAATTATTTCATACGTAAATCTTAATTAATAATCCAAATAACCTGATCATTATTTAAATTTTTATCAATGATTAATCATTACTATAATTTTCAAGGTCATTTGACGCTGCAAATAACAGCAAAATAAATTGTATTTGAGCAATTATAATAATAATTTTTTTAAAAATATATCATAATTATGTAATTACGCACGCAAAATATTATAAATTTTTTAACCCTATTTTTGCAATTTATAAATAATAAATCGACAAACTATTATATTAATGGTCCATATTAAATAATATATTTATATAAATTACTAGGTTAACGAAAATGATTAATTTTTAAATAAACCAACTGATTAATTGATATGTTTCTGGAAAACTAACAAATATAAGCTTTCATTCTTGAGGGACAAGTATTGACAAAACTCGTTGTATATAAAACATATGATGCATCATTCGTTTCTTTATTTAAAAAAATAACCGTTAGAAAAGTATAAACGAATCGAATTTTAATAATGAATGGTAAACAAAATGAGACAAACCATATTGGCTTTTTTATCTTCATCATCATCGACTTCATCCTCATCATCCTCATCATCACTTTCATCCTCTAAATCATTTTCATCTTCACCTTCATCCTTATCCACATTTTCATCCTCTAGTTCATCATAATTATAATCATCCTCTAGTTCATCATAATTATAATCATCCTCTAGTTCATCATAATTATAATCATCCTCTAGTTCATCATAATTATAATCATCAACAACTTCGTCGTCACTATACTCATTTCTGTTATCGGATATGACTTTAAGTTTGTTATTATTGACTGTAATTTCATCAGACTCATAAGTCAAATTTGTAGTGTCAACATCAATATCATCAATCCTATTAAGATCAGGAGTTGATCGATTAATGATGGATGTTAAGATAGAACTAGTAGAAGAAATAAGTTAATAATAATTACCTATAATTATTCATTTCGGATAAAATATACCCGTGCGTACGTATGTATCGTACAAAAGATATAAATTTAATGAAACGATGGTGAACTTGCATAATTGTGTAATATACTTTTTTTATATAATATAATGACGCAATACGTTACCTAATTACGTAATATAAGTGGATTTATTTTGCCTCTCGTATGTACGTACGTACGTACGTACGTATGCACGCAACTATCGTAAGGCACCGACTAATAGATCGTATCCGTGTAATATACGTACTTACGTAATAACACTGTATCACGCATCAGGTTCAACACGTAATTTAAGAGATTATACAATAATTATTCATAGAATTTAAATTTAAAAATTATAATAGTTTTTTATATAGTTAAGTTTAAAATTATAATAGTTTTTTATATAGTTAAGTTTATTTGTCGTTTCTTCAAAATCTTATACATGTTATTGAAAAAGACGATATAAACCAGCACATATATTTGCTTAAAAACGATAAAATTTCAAATTATAATTTTTAAAAAAAGAATAAAATGCAATTTTTTTTAAACTTTGAAATTTATATAAAAACTTACCGATTCCAAAAACTCCTAATCCAACTTTTCTAAATTGAGCGGATCGAGATAATCCGAGTGCCACATTTTCAGGTTTAATACTGTTATAAATTGCGTAAGAGCCCAATCCAATAAACGTTACAGTTCCTACTAATTTACATGATAGGCAATCTTTAAATTCTGATGAATGTTGAGGTTGTGAAGAATTTGATGATGATGATGATTTCATCGAATCAGAACAATAAGAAAATTATTTCATAATTATAAGAAAAAAATTTTTTTTTCAATCGTATTAAATAATGCTGTGAATTGTGGATCCCTAGGCACGTGCATCACCAAATTAACTATTTTTTGACGTTTACCATCAACATAATTACTTTTTTACCGTTACATTAACAAAAATGTGTGCACATCGAGCAGCTAGACGAGAAACTTTAGGAAATTTACTTTCTTCATTACAAGAAGAATTAAATTTAAATCCTTCTCAACCATTATTTAAATTAACGTATGCCTCTTCTCCAAATTGGCCTTATTATTTAACAGAAACTCAACCAAGTAGTTCAACTTTAAAAATCGCAATTTTAGATTCATCATTTAATCCACCTACAAAAGCACATATGCAATTATTATTAGAATCCTTAAAAAATCATTCTAATACGAAAACAAATAATAATTCAAAATTTTTTGATGCTTGTTTATTACTTTATGCGATAAAAAATGCCGATAAAACACCATCATCATCTGATGCTGGACCAGTGGATAGAATATTAATGATGGAATCTTTAGCATCCCAAATTCATTCCACCGAAATTGAACAAAATATTGCTACTGGTGTGATAACTCATCCATTATTTATGGATAAGGCGAAAGCTATACATTCTTATTTTAATAATAATAATAATAATAATAAATTAACATCTTATTCTATTGATTCTTCTATTGATTCTTCTTCTATTATTATTAATTATTCATCTCAAATTTCTCTTTATTTTATTTTAGGTTTTGATACTGTAATACGTTTATTTAATCCTCAATATTATTCAAATATTTATAAAGAGCTTGATTCGTTCTTTAAAATTAGTAATATTATTTGTGCTAATAGAGATGGATATGGTGGACGAGAATCTGAAGAAAAATTTTTTCAAAGTGATATTTTAAAGGAAATTATTGGTGAAAGTGAAAAAATTATAAGAGTAAAATTAGATGATAATGTTGCAAAAATTTCGTCTACTAATGTTAGAAAAGCTATAATTAATATAGAACAAGAAAATGATGGTGGTGATGATGATAAACGAGAAGAAATGATTAAAAGTATTTTATACGATTTTTGTCCCGAGTCAGTTGCTGAATTTGTTTTTCAAGAAAAGTTGTATAGGAATACGCGTTAAAATTTGTGAAAAGCAATTTTATAATCTTTCTTAACGTTAATAAAATTTAATCACATTAAAAAATTACTATTGTATATCACGTTAATTTTTTTAATTTTACATTTTGTAAATGACGCTATTATTACTTTCGTTGTCACAGTTTTATTATTTGTAGAAGCCATTGATGAAAATTATTTTTGACTGTAATGTACGAAATATTATACAATAACTTTATTACATTATTACATTATTAACATTATTATAAACATTATTAACATTATTATAAACATTATTAACATTATTACATTATTAACATTATTAACATTATTACGTTAGTGATCTAATTAATAAAATGGTTAAGATTTTATATTATAATAGTAACATGCGATAATAAAATATTATAACTCACAAATATTTATCTCCAAACTTTATTAAAAATATTCGACGAAAAAAAAAAAAAATTTTTTATTCCGAATTTTTTCTTTGGTTGATCAAATGAAATCCCTTTATTTTGCCTATACCTATTTTAACCCATCTTTATTAATAAACCATCCTAAAAACCATTTCCATTTGATTTATAAGCTTCTTGATTTTGATTCATTCTCGCGAACACATCCATCCCTAAAATCTCAAAAAAAAATTGGCAAAGAAATTCGATATATACATACGCATATAATAAACAAAAGAAAGGAAAGAATTTTTTTCTTAAAGATCTTAAAAGAAAAAGAAAAAAAGGAAATAATAAACATATACAGTATAATCAAAATACAGTGGTAATTGATTAATAAAAAGGTTCAATGTTCGCGTCCGTGAATGAAGTCATAATTCCTTTTTGTTCAAGTAACCTTTTGATAGCACATTCCAAATAAGGATCACCGAAATAAAGGCTCGTGAAATGAAAAACCTTGAGAGAATTTTCTTCAATATTTTCAATAAATAATTTAACAGCTTTACAAGAAGGATAATAATTATTTGCTTCAATAGCAAGATCCCAATATTGAAGTGTAGGTGGTAAATGTTTCGCCATTTCAACAAATATTGAATCATCAAAATTATTTTCCGTAAAGAATTTTAATTCTTTCAAATTTTGACATGAATCTAAAATTGAAAAAATTTCTGAATTCGATAATGTTATAAATGATAAATGTTGAAGATTTTTACAATTTCCTGCTATAACATTTGCAATCTTGGATCGATTTTCTTGAGGTGGACTTGTCGAATTAATTTTAATATGTCGAAGATTATCATTTGCTGATTCAATTATTTTAATAATAAAATCGGTTGGGAACGCGATATCATAAAATATATTATTATTAAATTTGAATTTTTGTAATTTTGGAAACATGTTTGGCCAAGGTCTTAAACACGTATCATTCGTTCTTTTACAATTGATGATTTCGAATGTTTTTAAATGAATACACCACGCTAATGCATCAAAAGCATTATTATCAAAATACTGAAAGTCAATGTTGCTTAATTCGAGTTTAACCAATGAATTTTTTTGACTTTTTACTGAATGAATGATCGTTGAAACGTTTTGATAATATCCAATAACACCAAGTTGTTGCAGAGATCCTTGATTTTCAATAAGATTTGCCAATGCTTTACAAGTGCAAAGAGAAAGTTTTGAATTCCTATTCTGAGCGATAATATGTTGAAGATTATTTGCCACATTAGAAATATTTTTTATGAAAGTAGTATCATTATCTCTTTCGATGAATTGAATCTTTCTCAATTTTTGAAAATTTGGAGCTTTATTATCAAACATTGGAACTTTTCCGTTTCCAGAATGATTAATGAAATGAATCATTTCCGCTCTTTCCATAAATAATTCACAAAATGTCATTTTCAATAAATCCATGTAATAAATCTTTGGTTTTGATAATGTTCTTCGATGAATGATCCAGTATTTTGCCATCTCAGTAATACGATCAAAATCTAAAATTCTTAAAAATGCTGGATAATCAAAGAGTGGTGGTTTCTTACGTGGTGCAGGTGGAAAATAGATTCCTTCACTTTTTATATATTCTTTTTTATCTTTAGGAAGACAAAGTAAATAAGATCTTGAAAGAAGCTTTATTGTTTTTTCGGGAGAATATTCACCAGGAAGAATTGGTACTCGCCAAAGAATTGGAACAGCCGTTTTACACCAATATCTACTAACAGAAATACATGGTCGTAAATTACTAACTGAATTACATGATCTTGAATCAGAGATTATGTTTTCGAAAATCTCTTTTAGAATTTCTGTTGATAATAGATTTATCGACATATTGTAAAGAATTTAATATCATTAATAATTAAAGAGCTTCCTTTTTTTTTTTTTTTTTTTACACAAACTTTGATAACTTGATAACTTGATAACTTGATAACTTGATAACTCGAGAGAAAGGATCAAAATTTGGTGGCTGTGATTGTTTAATTTTTTTGTCCCTTTTATAATCATCTGCGTTTGCATTATCATTATGATTATGTCATGCATGAATGCCGTTTGTACATATATGTATATACTACTGTAGTAAAATTTTTTTTCACTTTTAACACAAAAAAATACGTGAATGTTAATCTCGGATTTGATTGGTTGATTTGATATAAACATTGAGTAAAAATAAACAAGTTTCCTTTTAACTTTAATAATAAACTATAAACTATGAACGACGACGATAAAATTGATTTTTTTTTTTAGCTCATTGTAATGAGTAATTTGACATACGTTTTTTTAAGTTTCCAAACTTTTGCCGCCTAAGATTTTTTTTTTTTTAAAAAAAAATAGCTTTTTTTTATAATTATTAGAATGTTGTCGGACGTTTTCTGTTTTATATAGCGATAGTTTAAATTAAAGATGGACTACTGCAGATTAATTTGAGGAGGTAGTAAAAATTGTGCTAACTATTTATATTCCTAACGTTGATTAAATAGTCATTCTCCTGGTCTATCTCGTCTAATAATTAATATTAAATTTTATAATAATGATAAATTTTAGTATAGTCCATACAAACTTACATCTACGGCGTTTTACACCTATCGCTATACGTGCATTATCCAAAATTGGCTAATTAATTTGTGTATAGTGCTTTATGTAAAAATTGATCTACATTTCTAGAAACTCTTCTCGAACACTAACGTGAAAATTCAAGTTAAAAATTATATAAATAAACCTAAAATTATTTGAAAAATATTAAAACATTTATACAGTACACACAAAAGATATTAAAACATAACTACTGCATATTAATATAAATATATACAACTTAATTTGTAATTTTACATAACACGAAAAATTGTAAAATATCGATTCGTTCTCACTTTTTTTAAAAAAAAATTCAGATAACAAATACAGTACTGCAGTACATTAAGTATTACACCTTATAAATCTAACAGATATTTTTCAATAACTTATTATAGAATTTTACAAATAAATACGAATTATAATTTAGTTATATTAAAATGAATATAGTAAAAACGTTGAAAAATTCTTTTCGTCTTTTATATATTGAATTCACGAATTAAGGTAACAGGCCAATTTATTTTTGGTTTAAGAATCATAAGCGAAGCTGTGAACATTCATATTAATAAGGTCTTTTACTTTGAAACTCCACATGCAGGTCCTTACTGCACTATCAAGTATAATTTACTACGTATATTAAAAATAGCATTTTAATTAATTAAACCGTGTTTAGGCAAAATTCTACTACATATCGATATAAAGTACCGTTTTTTTTTTTAATCTAGCAGCTAAATAACTCACGTACGTACGTACGTACGTACATACATACGTACTGCAGTACTGTCTGTACTACGTTAAATCACTCTAAAAATCTCTATTATAAATATATATAATAAAATCTTCATATGCGTATTATGCATAGTCTTTGCATTTGCATCTGATTAATTCAAATTAAAACCAAAATAACGACATTAACGATAATTAGTGATATTAACAATAGCTGATAATTAACAATGTTAACAATATTAACGATATATAGCAACAATTATATGACATGCCTACCTCGTTTGATAAAGTAATTACCGTATTCGTCTGTCACGAGTATCCAAGACATTCCCTTATTTGTATAAGGATTACAATGTATTAAAAATGCTGAGAAATCTGCGGTCGTAGAATCTGCGCATAATTTTTCTCTTCTGTCTTATAGTACAAAAATATTTTTACTACGTAGTTATTGTTTAATTGCGCTTTAAATTAAAAAAAAAAAAAACCAGTATAACAATTTTCATATAATCGGAATTCAGTTAAGGTAACATTGTTTGCTCTTGTCATTCTACATTCTCAGCAGAAAAGCAGGGTACTAAAATAATATCATCAGTATATTTTCAGTATACGTATTATTGTTATGTTATGTCATTTATTTATTATTTTTTTTTAAAAGACCGCATTTTCCGACATACCTGATACGAATATGCGCAAGTATATTCCAACGGTTTTCATCAAATTTTGAATTACAACCGGGGTAATATGTACGAAGGGGTACACACGTGAGATTAATACGTCATCGCAATACGTATCTGCAGTAATTACGGTCGTACATATCAATATCGATATGCGTAGTACACTCGTAGTACAAAAACTTTCGTCTTTAAAATTGTCTTGAAGTACTTTATATAGAACTGGGTACTATACTTGAAGGGAATTCATATGAAAAAGTAATAAATTAATATAGTTATATCCTCGGTCTTATTCAAGGAATAGACCGCAAGTCTTAATAATAGGTGTATTATTTTTTGCGATACTTTACCGTTATGCAGCGCTAAACGATAAATAGTTCGATAAAAAAAACTTATTACAATGAATATTTTACACTTCACATTTTGTTGAACGCTCTTAAACATCCTTAACGTCGATTGTTAGTATTCAAAAGGTAAAAGCAGATGATCTCTCATTCACATGAACAAACAAATTTTTTTTTTATATATTATATTTATTTATTTGTTTTTTTTTCTTGTTATTATCGTATATCGTAGAATCGTAGAAGAAAAAAAAAAAACATTCCCACACCCACACCGCTTAAACAAATAAAAAAAAAACTCCCGTGGTTTTATCCATAGGAATTTTCCAAAAATTTCAAAGCCCACTTCAATGAGGCACCCACACGGAAACCTTTAGTAAAAGGCGAAAGGTTTATACGTTCTGCGAGTACCTCGTGGGAAGATAGAGATCATAAAAAGGATTTTCATCGTATATTTATAATTATTTCAAATTTAGTTGAATTATGGGATTCACAAAATTGTTAATAAATGCATTAAATTTAACCAATCAAATTATGTTAATCGTCATATCACAAATATCATGTGGATACATTACACAAAAAAATTAAACGAAAATACTGCGTTAGAAAGATATACATTTTTCCGTATTATATATTATTATAAACGAATACTACGTATATATGTAAATGATTTTTTTTTTAATAAACAATATGTGTAAATTGAATATCCTATTTTTGAATAGTTTGGTTGAAAAACTAAGCCGTGCAAAAATTTTGAAGTTTTAATAAACAGTTATAGATTTATTTGTGGCATATAACGCCGTTGTACTGCAGATTTACGTATAACGATAAATCGATGTAAATAAAAAAAAATTCTTTTTGCGCATACGAATAATCGGAAAAACTTGTTTGTCTTACGATAGGTTGGTAAATGTTTCGACTGAACAGGAATGGACTGAACAATAATAGACTGAACAGGAATAGATTTCATCAAGGCAAGTTTAATCTCTATATTAATAAATTTTATACATATTGGATGCTAATATTAATTTAGTTATGTACGATATTATCAGACAAGGTATTCATTCTTGTACCTTTGAGATGAAACGTGCGAACGTCCCTGAAGAAAAGATTAATTGATAATGAATTTTCGATAACAATTGAAAGTTTTGAATCAATTTTCTATGTAATAAACATTTATTGGTCGATTGTTTTGGTTTATCCGTGAGGATAGATACATATATTTGCATTAATTTTGTTTTATGTATTTAATATAGTATATCCGATAGAGATAATAAAAGGTATGCGCTTATAAGGAAACAATAGAGCGACCGTGCGTCTTAAATACGTAATCACGATTTTTTCGGATCAGAAATAGGATAAAGATAAAATTACTCCATTTCTTTTTAATACAGTAATATCATGAATCACCTAAAAATGTATATTCAACTATCAAAAAACGAAAACGGAACCTTCTCGAACAAATCTATGTACGTCATATGTACATAAAAGGTAGGTCATACGGAAAATTTCTAAAATAGATAAATTTTTTTTTGATTGTGTTATTGTTTCTCTTCAAAGTGCAGAAGTGCGAAATTTTCAATGAAACTTATGTACACCTATACGGACACCACACTCCGGAGATCTTGTTACACGTAATGTTAATACTTAGTTAACAATAAAAGAATAACTTTTTATTATTAAACATGTGAAAAATAAATCCGAATTATTTTACTTTTTTCTTATAAATTTGCTTGTACGTACGTATTCATCAAAAAAAAAAAAATCAGAAAATTTTTTAGATATTTTTGGATTTTAAAAAATTACAAAATAATGGGAGAATATAAATTTGAAAAATGGGCGTTTAATGATGAAAAATTAAAAACTGAAGCAATTACTCATAAATCCTATGCCGCCGAAAATCCTGGAAATGGTCCACATAATGAAAGATTAGAATGGATAGGAGATTCAATAATCACTACTGTTGTCTCCGATTATCTCTTCCTTAATTTTCAAGATCGTAATGAAGGTTCTCTTACTAATTTAAGATCAAAAATTGTTTGTAAAGAAACATTAGCAAAGTTTGCTCGTAAATTGGAATTAGATAACGAGCTATTGTTGGGAAAAGGTACTATGGGTGATAGAAATAATGATAGACTTTTAGAAGATACTTTTGAAGCATATATTGGTGCTATTTATTTGGATTCTGGAAGAAATCTAAATGATGTTATTAAATTTATGGAACCAATTATTAAACCATATGTGGAAGAAATGGCTGCAAATGATCTTAATAATAATGTATCTTCCGCTAAAGATTCTGAACCCGTATATGGCCCTATGAATAAGCAGATAGAATCAGGGGATCCTATAGGAATGTTACAAAGTTGGGCTCAATCTAGAGCATTTCAAATACCTGAATATAAATACACGGAAATCCCATTAGCTGATAATAAAATTGATTTTGAGTGTGAAGTCATTATTGAGGGTAAAAGTTATGGTGTTGCCTCGAGTGGTAAGAAGAAAGATGCAAGGAAAAAATCGTCGATTATTGCATTAGAAAGTTTGGGCATAACTAATTATAACCCTTAATTTAAGTTTTGGTTACTGGTAAGAATTTATGATTCGTTCATTATTTGCTTATCTTTGTTCCATTTAATTGCTTTTAATAAATATTAACTCGATATTTCTTTCTAATCCATTACAGTATTGAAAGCTTAAATCCTAGAGATGGAAGACTTTTAAGATTTTTTTTTTTTTTTTTGCTATGTAATTCATTTCATTTTGTACGTTTATCTATTATTTCCGTCGTATATTTTTGGGTAATTCAGAGGTTTTTACCTGTATGTTTTTATTTTAATTTGTTTGTGGACATTAAGATCATTCGTTAATTTTTTATAAGAACGAAAAATCAAATATATTGTTGCCTATATTATTTTTTTATTCCTGGCTCGGATATTAATATCAAGTTTGTTAGCATTCAAAAATTTTTGCAAAAATATTTGGTCATCCGTCAATCATTGTATTTTAAATACTCTAAATAAAATTTATTAAATAAATAATAATGTCCTTTAATTATGTACGTATATATAGTACTACAATTTTTTTTTACATCTTCACATTTCTTTCTTTTCGTTATAAATATTGTGCCTCGGATGCAATTCAGATGTTTATTTTTAGATGACGCGCGTAACCTGTCGATCGGTCATCTGAGGTGCGTAAGGCGTAATCTAAGATGCCTCAGTTGTAAACTGACGCAAGTTCTATAATCATGTGTTTACGAATACTTTAATAAACAATTTATTATATGGCTAACAAATCAAACACGACTTTACAGACACATACGAGGATAACACGTAGAGAAATAATAATTTTATCGTAATTAGCACATATCAATTACTTTGTAATCCCCAAACACAAAACCAAAATACCAAAAAAATAAATTGGTCTCAAATTTATAAAAAAAAATAATCACAACCAAGTCAACATCAAATATACATAAAGAAATACTAAAAAATTAGTAGGCATTAAGAATTAAATCAACTTCAAATAGGTATCAAAAACTAAGCCAATATTGAATATATATATACTGGCGATCATAAATAATGCATCAAAAAAAAAAAATTCGTTAGATCGAATTTTCTCGCGCAATTCCGCGTGTATCCTTTACTTTTTTTTTTTATTTGTAAATACTATCCCTTTCATCAATAAAAATTTTTTAAAAAATTAATCAATAAAATTTTTTAGATGCACAAGCTTTATTTGAATTCACATGCTGCATCTTTTTTGCTCGTTTTTACAACAGCATGAAGATAAAATACAAAAATTTTTTTGTACACTAAAAAACAATTTTTTTTTTCCATTTAATTCCCCCACATGTTCACTATCTAGCCCAAGCCCTAATAACGTTGCAAACTCATTCTGGCATTGAACAAATCAAGTTCATGCAGGTCTCAAGATCGATCTGCATCACCTGAATTTTTTCCCAGAGGTCTTTTTTACTTGAAATATTGCTGGGGAGCCTTCTCAAACAATGATTGACTTCAGCCCACAGGTGTTCAATTGGGTTTAGATTGGGGAACACAGGAGGCCACTTGAAGGTTTTTATCCAAATCAATGTTTGGTTAAGGTTGCAGAGTAGGGCAAAAAGGGGAGTTCTGGCACACTTTTTCGGTACCCTGGGTACTAAAATATTCATTTTGCTTTTTAGATCGCTCAAGAAGTCTATATTCTATAAAAACTCTTTAGTACCTATATAAAAACCTGGGTACCATAAATTATATAGCTAGAACTCACTATTTTTATATTTTATAATCAAATCAGATGATGACAAAAAATTAATCTCATCGTCACACCTGATAACATATACTATTCATCCATATATAAATCAAAGTACCAAAAATTAAGTATCTATTTTCCTTTATTGCAGAGCAATGACCCTTTGGGCCTTATAATACTTTTGATAATGTCTAC